ATTATACCTATTGCTATAATATTTACATATAATTTAAACTAACAAATTTCTTTATTAAAAAAATTATTTTATAGATGGTAAGTTATTTATTTAATTCTATTATTACTTATTGTTATAATATTTACATATAATTTAATTTCTTTATTAAAAAATTATATATGAACTAGCTTGTAAGTATTTCTATTGTTATATATTTTATATAATATTTATTTGTTAACTAAATTTCTTCATTTAAAAAATATCTGTTACTTTAGTTGGTAAGTTGTAAATTACAGGTTATTATATGTATTTTCCAAAAATTAAGACTTATATTACATTAAATTCCTATTTAAATTTTAGAGTAAGTAATAATTTATTTTGTGTAAATTATAATACAATACTATAATATAATTTTAATTATTTAAATTTATAGATTTGGGAAAAGTGGAAATACAATTATAGATGATTTTATTCTTGAAAAACAATTGAGATGGATCCCTTTTAACAAGTTTAAAAATGTTGAATATCTTAACGAAGGAGGATTTGGTACTATATACAAAGCTATTTGGGTAAAGAATAATGGAAATAAATATAAAGATAATGAAGATGATGAAGATAATGAAGATGATAAAGATGATGAAGATGATGAAGAAGGTGAAGATGATGAAGATGATGAAGAAGGTGAAGATGATGAAGAATATAAAGAATATAAAGAAGATGAAGAAGATGAAGAAGTAATTCTTAAATGTTGCAAGAAATTAAATGAAAATTTAAATGAATTTTTGAAAGAAGTAAGATAGATTGATAGTATATTATTTTTTATTTTTATAATTTAGATTAATAAATTATTATTATATTTTATAGTGGAAATATCATACAAGTGTTTTAAGTTCAAATGATATTATAAATTTTCATGGATTTACAGAAGATCCAAATACTTCAAAATATATGGTAGTAATGGATTATGCAAATAAAGGTAGTTTAAGAGAAAATTTAACAAGTATAGTCAAAAATAATTGGAATCAAAAATTATATATGTTGTACGAAATTATTTCTGGACTAAGTAAGATACATGGAGAAGAACTTATTCATTGTGATTTTCATGATGGTAATATTTTAAAACATAATGATGAGAATAAGGATAAAATTTATATTAGTGATTTAGGATTATGTCAACCTGCAAAATCATTTTTGAAAAAGTATGATATTTATGGTGTTATACCATTTATGGCTCCTGAAGTTTTAAGAGGCAAATCTTATACTCCAGCTAGTGATATATATAGTTTTTCTATGATTATGTGGGAGTTTACATCTGGAATACCACCATTTAACAATCGAGCACATGATCTTCAGCTTAGTTTAAGTATTTGTAAAGGTGAACGTCCTGGAATTATTGAAAATACTCCACAATGTTATGTAAATTTAATGAAAAAATGTTGGAATAAAAATCCATTAAAAAGACCATCTACTTCAGAAGTGAAAGGTGTTTTTGAGAATTGGATTATCCGTCCTTATAAAAATGAAGTCAGTAAAGAATTAAAAAGCAACATTATGGAATTTATAAATGCACCAATTGGGCATAACAATCTTACTACTAAATCTCATCCTAAAGCATGTTTTACAAGTCGCTTACTTGATTTTACTAGTAAAAAATTGAATGAAATTCTTGAAAGTGAAAATTTACAAGCATATCATAAAAGTCATTCAGATTTGAATGATTGTGTTATTAAAGATTTGAGGTCATTAGGTATATACTATAATATATAAAAAATTAATCTTGCAAATTATTTATATGAAATTAATTAATTTATTTAATTATTAAAACAGATGAGAATATTAATAAAAAATTGAATGAAATTCTTGAAAGTGAAGATTTACATGCTAGTGTAAAAGCAAATGAAATAAATGAAATGCTAGTAAGTGAAGATTTGAATAATTATATAATTAAGGATCTGGGGTCATTAGGTATGTACTATGATATATAAAGAATTAATCTTGCAAATTATTTATATTATTTATGTGAATTAATTTTATTTAATATTTAATTATTTAGATATTAAAAAAGCAGATGAAAATTAACTAATCATTGTTGGTTTTTTAAAAAAATTTATATTTTTTTTTAAGTACTATTTGATATTACACATTCAAAAGAAATTGTTTTTTATTTTATTCTTTTTAAATTTATTTAAACACTAAGGCTAGAGTAGTAAAATATTTTACAAGTTTCTTAGTTTGCAATTTAAATAATTCTTTTTTTTTTTTAACTTCTGTATTTATATTCACTTTTTTTTATTACACTTAGAATTATTTAAACACTAAGATTAGAGTAGTAAATATTTTACAAGTTTCTTAGTTTGTAATTTAAATGAATCCTTTTTTTATAACTATTCCAATTATGAGATATAAAACCATTTCCAATGATAATGTAAAATTTTTTATACTAATACTAAATTTATATTTGTTGACTTTTATTTTTAATATTATTTAAATATTTTGATAAGAAACTACAATGATAACTGCTGTATTATATAATGCATCAGTTATTTTTTTTCTTGATAAACCAAAGTCTTCTAACTTTATTTTATTTTGATGTACAAGTATAATGTACTCACTAAAATGAATATATGATATTAATTTATTGCTTGATATAATCAAATTAAAAAAAACTCACTTGTTATGCATAAATTTTACAGAATTTGCAAGTTGAAGTACTAATCTATATTTATTATTCCATCCAAGTTTATTGCTATTCTCTTTTAATAGAATTGTATGTAATAATCCACAATCAAGTATACTTCATAATAAATAAATATGTCTTCCATTTTTAGGATTCCATAAAATTGGATGATAATTGCATGATAATCTGTTGCATTTTAACTATTTTTAAAATATAGTAACATATAATATTAATAGTGTATACCCATAATATTACAAATACTTTTAAATAATTTACCTCATTAACAATTTCATTAATAGTTAAATTAAATGGACATTTTAGAGCCATAATAGTATTAGAATCTTTATAATTTGTATGAATAACATTTCCAAATGACCATTACTTATTCCTTCTTCATTAGTAAAGTTTGCATACTAATCATAATAATATTTGATGTAATCTTCTAATATTGCTTTTCCTAACCAATCAATTAATATAAGTTTTAGAATTATCCATTTATTCTTTGGTTGCAATCAGTGTTTTATAAGTACCACACCTTTTTATGATAAGATAATAATGAATTTATAATATTTGTTGCTATTGTTACCGGTAATAACGGTAATTAAGAGTTGGATAACTAGCGATATTATATCGTATAAACACTCGGTTATCAATGGGATTCTTACTCAATACTACCTATCCTGGTATTCCGGTATTGTTCGTTAAGAATCGTCAGATAAACAACTACAAAATACGATAAATAATAATACGCAATAGTTATAATAACAAATGTTATATGACTGTTAGAAACAACGGGTAATATTTGACCAGGATATAACGATTTTATTAATAGATGTAAATTTCGGGTCTTTACAACAAGTGATAAAAAGTGATAAAAAGGGATAGAAAATATATCTTAAAGATATTTAGCAACAAGATAACTATAGAAAATAGCTATGAAGGTAACTACTCTATCAAAGAGTTGGCAGAAGGTATATTTATATCTTATTTTATCTAACTGTCATCTCTTTTTCCCGTCATCAAGACAAAATCTAATCTATAGATGTCTATTGATGGGTTATTGATTTTCTATTGTCAAGTTTCATCGTGATATATCGTAATATATCAATACGATTATAAGCCACTTTAATAAAGTACAAATGATAATTTTGGACGGTTAATTACTATTGAGCTGATTTCCCCACAATAACTTCTAATAAAATCTTATACATATAAACAATACAAATAAAGAAAATAAATAATATAAACAATAATAATATGAATAAAATAATAATACTACTTATGTAAATATAATAAAAATAAATAAAATCAATATCTTCTATTAGGTTAATCTGGTGTACACAAATCACCGGTTGTATAACGATATAAATCGGCACGTAATATCAGAAATCGACATGTACACAAATGTACTGTATTCATATCGGATCGTCATATATCGTCGGAAATCATGTGAGTAAGATTTCGTGTAACACTATTAATCAGTTCACACTGAATATTTGAATATGGGTGTATAATTCAATATGATTTTATTTTATTTGAGTTAAATAATTTATTTGTCTTTTTTTTTTATTTAAAGTAGGAATTCATGAAAAAAGGATATATCTTAATTTCATTATTATCATCATTATCATATTCATCATTAAATGATTAATATAAAAACTTGAAAAAATACAAAATACAAAACAATGGATTCATCAAACAAAATTCAAACATTGCTGATAATTCTCCATCATTTTTATTCATAAAAGTATTTAAATAATTTAAAACACTTTACAGGTTGGTACAGGATTAGGATAGCAGGTTTATGTTACAACTTACAAATAGAATTGGAACAGATAGAGATTATGATAATGGTATTTCAAATCACCTAATAATGGATTTACTTTGGGTCAATATAGTTTATACTTTATACTTTACGGGAATTAACAAAGTTTATTCTAATTGAATGCTTTTTAAAATCAACTAATAATGGATGTGCTAAAGGTCAATATAATTTATGTTATTGACATGATGTCATGATAATGAATTGGAATAAATAATAATTACAAAATGACATTTGAATTGTATTTAAAATCCACTGAATCAGGAAATGGAATGGTAAAGAATAGTTTGAAGGAAATATAAAGAGTTTGATATGCAATATTTGTCATATTTTGAGTAATTTAAAAACTAGAAATGATAACATTTAATTTTGTAACGGTTTCCCTTTATGAAAATCTTTTATTACAGGATTTCATATGAATTCAATTAATCATTGTGGAAAAAATTAACTTTATAGTAATGAAATTATCAAAGTCAGCCATTACATGTAAATTATACTAAGAATTGAATTATATTTGTTTAATTCTTGTATTTTTGAATAAAGTTATTAATTATTTCATTTATAACAGTTTTTTCATGATTTAACATTTTTTTATATCGCATAATTCCAAATTTTACAATATCTAATATAATTAAATAAAAAGTTTCTATATAATTCATGATTAAATTAGAATTATCTCTTATTTCATCATCTATAAAGTGAATTAGCAGTGAATTATTACATTTGATAGTGATTTCTTCTTATTTAAGTATCTCGCGGATTCTTCTATAAAATTGGAATTATAATTTCTCAATATTTGAAAAGTTACCTCTATAAAAAATTTTATCTATTATTTCTAAAAACTCCATAAAAATGAGCCTTTCACGGATCCATTCATGGAAAATGTAAATAATTCGATAAATTTCGTGATATAACAAGGTTATTAATTCTAGAAATATGAGCCTTTTACGGAAATAAGATGGAATGTAAAAAATGGCTTTTTTAGAGGGTTAACATATCTTGACTTGAAAAGGATCTTCGTGTCAAGACTTGTTTTTTTTTCAAATTGTTTTCTTACAAATTTAATCTTTTTTGAAATTTTTGGTTGTGATAGCATGTAAGAGAATTATATTTATATTTATAAACATAATACATTATTAATAAATTACTTTTTGTAAATCATGACGGGAAAATGTCTGTCGGGATATATGCCCTATAAAAAAAGAAAATTCGGAATTTGTCCTGAAAAGTATGGAAAATGTCCGGAAATTTTCCGTGCGTCCGGAAAACATTTGGAAACGGTCACGTTTTGGAACACTTTCCGGACGCACAAATTCCAGACATTTTCTTGACACTCCAGAATTTGTCCAGAATTTGTCCAGAATCGAGCGTCCAGAAAATGTTCCAAAACATGACCGTTTCTGAATGTTTTCCGGACGCATGGAAAATTTCCGGACATTTTCCATACTTTTCAGGACAAATTCCGAATTTTCGTTTTTTATAGGGATGTTGTTGGGATAATGTCATGTCGGAAAACTAACATGTAGTATAATGTCCATTAGGGAAGGTGTCATTTCGGTAAAATGTTCATTCGGGAATATGTCTTGTCGGGCAATCATCATCGGGCAAAGGGTATGTCGGAAAAAGGTTGTCGGAAAGTTGTAAAAGGATAAATAATTAGTAAATCAGTTGCCACAACTGCGCCTTATACTCCATAGTTGAGAAGATTCTCTAGGGAGTATCTGTTTTATAAAAAAAATATCGAGTGCAGCAAAATCTGATTTTCATGCATAAGAATAAACCTTCAAATGTTTTATAATTTCTTTAAAAACGATCTAAATTCTCAGTTTGGATCGATTGAAGCTTCTAAACAGTTTTCGAATTAGTGTCAGGTTATTCGTATCTAAATAAAAAAAAATACGGTATATAATACATTCGGATAAAGAATTAGTTCAAAAACTGCATATATCTTTTTTGGTAAAATAAGTAAGAACACAGTACTTAAAAGAATAATAGCATCTGTATAGTGCATAGCGCCTAGAGAATTTAGTGATTATACCATACGATCACAAAATTATCTTTCTAAATTTAATAATTTTTGGTGTTGACGCGTTGTAATTGGCTTTTCGGATACTGAGTACCAACGATATAATATTTATAAAATATTTCACATTTAAAATATTTTTAAACGCAAAAAAAGAATTTATTTATTTATTTAATAAATATAAAAAAAAAAATTAAAATAAAATAAAATTAAAATTATTATTAATTAATTAACTATTAATTTACTTATTATTAATTAAAGATTCGTGTAAAATGGGTACATCAAACACTTATAAAAAACTCCAAAAGTCAGGTACAGCAGAAGAATCACTAGGACCAAAAATAGCAGCTGAACAGGCTAATGCTTCAACATTAGGTGGTGTTCCATGTTGCATTGCAACTAAAATAACGTATGATTGAGGCAAATCTTTTGGTGCAGTGTATTTCTGCGTTGTAGAAAATGCAGTTCCGGCTTTAATCGGACAAGTAACTCCAGGTATTGTACAAATATCCACAACAAGGGGAATTCCTATGGGTGCTTGCGCGACAAGATCGATGAATCCAAGACCTAACAAATCTCCAGCGACAACATCTTTTTTCAATGTTCCCTTAATGTCAAACGTTTCTTCTTGTCCAGGAACGAAAGGATCAGGTGTCATTTTTACATCGAGTCCCACTACATCTGGTGGCAAACCGGGACATGGTGAAAATTTAGTTTCTCTTTTTACAAGTTCAAGTGGTGCTGCATTGACCGCAAAAAGCATAGCAAATAAAACGAATGCCAAAATAAAAATTCGATTCATGATTACTTAAATTTTCTTGTAATTAGATTTTTATTAAAATAAATGTTTATTATTTTTTTTTTTTGAATTCGGATTAAATCAGTTACTTCTTTTATAAGAAAAAAACAACAACCAAAAGATTAACTTTGTTTCATTTATTCTTTTTCTTCGTATTAAATTTATTAATTTGCAAATCTAAAATCTTAGAATAGAACGATTATCATCATGCTATATATCAATCATGTTGGAAGAAAATCATGCTAAAATAATTATGTATTATTACTGCGTTGGATATCTTAACTAATTTCGTTTTTGTTTAAAAAAAAAAATTTAATAGACATCTCTGGTCGTTGTTTCTTATCGGCTGTTCTTTGTTATGAAATTCCAGCCGTCAGAATTTAAAAAAGGATATGGGAGTGTAGAAATTTGAGATCATGTGAGGAATACAAATTTTAGGGGCTTTTATTAAGAAAGGAAATAAATTGTCTATTATAAAAATAAAATAAAATAAAATAAAAAAGGAAATAAAAAATAGGGGGACGGATAATCATTCATCTAAAATTAATTTTAAATGAAATTATGTCATTCAAAATAAATCGTAAAGTTTATTCGAATGCATAACTATTTCATACAAGAGGCATCACCATATGATCCCGAGGGGGAATAATAGTGCTCCAAACTAGTAAGGTAAACCGGGTGTTTCTCTTACAAGAATCTTTCATTTAGACACAAACAGAGTTATAATGGCAAATATTGTCCCAACGCATTTCTAAATGTCGAGATTTTCAATGCACATTCGGCATTCCATATGCCCTTATTCTCAAACACTATTGATTATAATAAAGAAGTTCCGAATTTCGTTCAAACGTTAGAAAGAGTTAAAAAACTCATACCAGCCGAGAATAAGTTTCGTCTAGATAGATTCCAAAGTTTCGGCCAGGAATGAAGAGTTTAGCAAAACCACATGCCCGAGCCCTTTCATCTTCTATTACTTTCCATTACTCCATTGTTATTTCATTTTTTTTATTAGCATCTTTCTCCTTGATCATTGTAATTTATTTATCTTTTTATTTATTGTTATTGTTTCTTTTATTTGTATCACTTCATTAAAAATACAGTTTAAAATCGTAAATGTATGACTTAAATTTTAATATTTGCAAATAAAATTTCATTAAATAAGATTATTTTGAATAATATGTTTGCAAAAAAATTTTTTTTAAAAAAATATCTTTTGTTAAAAAATCAGCTGTCAGCCGATCAATTATATATTGTACATCATGTGACATATTTGAAAAAAAAACCCAGGCGACAATCACCCAGGAGACGTTTAGCAATTCCCTTAAATTTTTACTATTTTACTATTTTGACTTATAATAAACCGAAATCTGCCATTTCTCTATACTTAATTTACTCATTATAAATAGAAAACATAATTTGTTTATTTATATTATTAATTTATTTATTTTAATGAAGCTTATTTATAAAAGTGAGATCAACAATTTGCATATTTATAAATTGGTCTTTTTTTTTATAATAACTTTCACTTAAAAGATCTTTTAAAAGCATGCCAAGCTCCCCCATTAAAATGACCTCTTTTTTAATTCAAGATGTGTGATCGTCAATGATACTCCGATTCATAATGTTTCATTAATTGAATATCATAATCTCATTTAACTGCATGTGGTAATTTTGTTAAATGAGACGATTGATAGACTGGTTACAGTACGGTTTCCTGAATGTCATTTTACTGAAATCAATTTTCCGATTGGCCATTTTCCGACCGGATCATTTCCTGAATATCTCGAACTTTACGATATATATATAAATTTCCTTTTTTAGAATAGATTTTGTTTATATTTATAGTTAAATCACAAATGACAGAAAAATAAAGATTAATTCCTTAAATAATATTTTCCTATAATTTTTAGGCTTCTTTTTAACCCATTCCATTTTTTTACCAAAAGATTATTTGATTACAAAATTTAAAATAAAAATAACTGATAACGATAATTTTCAAACAAATATTTTAATATATGATAAATTGATAATAAAAATAATGATACAATAGTATGTAACTATATATATACTGTACGTAAACTTTTTTTGCGTAAGAACCATAAAAGAAAAATTCATCTGAACGGTTACAGGACAATTTTAATATTCTACCGACATGAAATTGACTGACGCCATTTTGCTGACTTCCATTTTACCGACATGTAAAATTACCCGACTTGCCATTTCACCAAAAATTTATTAGCTGCGCCTCACTCCTTACTGCGCCTTAATTTCAAATTATTTCAAATGCTGAAGTTCAATAAACTGATTAACAAAATGCAAGATTTTATAGCACCAATCTAATAATTCCTTTGTAATCTTTTCTCTATTTTTTTTTCAAATATTACAGTTAGAAATTTAGAAACAAAAAATTTTTTTCATTGAAAATATTTAATACTGTAAGGGCAAATTTCATGATCGTCGACAAAATAAGGATTCGTTAAAATAATTTCGGCAAAATTATGTCGGTAAATTTTATGTCGGTGAAACAAGTGTCGGTAAATTAGGTGAATACGCATCTGATCTACTACGCAATAATTATTGCTGGTGCATACAGTAAGTACATAGATTTAATAACTCAATAAAATTCTTGAAGCAATAATTCCTTAATCCTTGTTTTATTTTATACAATGTTTATATAAAAAAATAAATTTAGAAATTAAATAGTTAATCTGTATAAACCTGGAATTTGTCGGTTAATGAGTAATGAGTAATGATTAATGATTAATGATTGTTTTCTATCTTACGATAATGTTTGTAAACTGATTTATTAAAAATTCTCTATAGAACTTTTTTTTCTGATTTGAATTCCATGGAAGAAATATTTATGTAATAATTTCTGAATATAATCATTTATTGCCATTTTTATCCCAATTGAATGTGTCAAAAGTCCGATAATCCGCAGTAGACTGTTCCTCAATAATCGGCCAGGTGCATATTTATGACGAAAAAAGAAAACTAGTAGGCAAAAAGTTCAGCCAATTATCTCACAAAAATTGGTTAAAAATTTTCCAGAGGCCAGGTCGATTTTTCATATTTTTTTTTTGTATGGGAAACCTATTTAGCCTTAGGATAACGTTTCAAAACGTTTCAAAAAATATAGTTCTACACCAAAAAATATTTCTTTTAGTTTTACGATGCTTTAACGAACATTAAAATTAAATATATCGATATATTTAGGTTCTATTATATTTTTGAAAATTAATTAATTAACGTGATAAATTATTTGAGTGTTATTTAACTAGAACGATGTTGACCTTAAATTGTTGTTATTTATATTAAACAAAACAATCAAATTTGAATTAAATTTGGCGAGGATGAAATAAAATAAGTATGTATTGCAAATTGAGGTGATATGTATTCTTATTGACGGTTTGTAGTAGTCATTATATATTTTTAAATAAAATTTATCAATATACACAGTTTGCACATACTTCGATACTCGATACTTGAGAATAGAGTTAATATATACTTTAACACTCTTTTAATATAAGGCTTTATAATACTCTAATTAGTATATAATATATTATCCCATTTAAGCGCGTCTGTCGAGTTATGTTATTGTTTGGTCGGCATAATATTAATAATAGGATTAAAAAAAAACATTTTATTTTATTTTATTTTATTTTTTTGCTTTCTTCAATAACGTATCTTAAATATTTATAATTTATGTATATAACTTGCAATCCTGGGTTTCATTACGGTATTGAGGATTATTATAATTGCAATTGCTTAATAATAAATGGGAAAAGTAAAGAGTAGTGACATTTGATGGACAAAAACATTTCACTAAGTGATTTTAAGAATTTATACATTTTGGTTTTAATTTGTTAATTTCGACTTCCATTGAATTATTTTTATTTTACTGGGAAAAATTTACTTTAGACGAAAATATAGAAATTTTTTTTTCGATCATTCAAGTAAAAAAATCACTAAAAGGAATATTACTAAAAATAGATTTTTTTTTGGAAGCGAGAAAATCAATTAAAAGTTAAATACTAAATCATAAAAAAAGAATTATTGTGAATTAAGATTTGATTATGATATTAATATTTATATTTAGTTAATATAATTATATGTATTAGCATTACACAATCGAAAATTGACAAATAATAAAATTGATTTGAACCGCAGTATCAAAAAGATCACATGTTCCATCTGTATTATGATCACCATGGTCAGAACGAATTGTCAACAGATTAAAAAAAAAATTTTTTGTCTTTAGTTTTTAAATTAGAAAATTTTTCATGGAGAATTTTTTTTCTTTTTTATTAGATTTTTATAAAATATAATTTTTGGTAAAGAATTCTTTTTTTTTGATGGAATTTCTTTGAGTAATTTTTTTTTTTTTCTTGATAAAAAATTTCGTTGGAGAATTTTTTTTATTGATAGGGGAATTTCTTTTAATAGAGGAGTTTTTTTTTTATGATAGATAATTTCTTTAAAGAATTTTTAATAAGGAGATTTTTTTGATAGATAATTTCGTAGGAAAATTTTTTAACAGGAGAGATAAAAAATGATTCATTGAGGACAATATTCTCATTTTTATTTTTGATAGAGAATTTCGGTAAAGAATTCTTTTTTTAATAGGAGGGAAGGGTTTTTTGATGTTGTATAATATAGTTAATGAAAATCTATACAGTATGCAGAGTATATATATATATATATTTAATTGGTAACGCATTTCTTTATTAATTAAAAATTCATATATAATACAGTATAGATTATATAATTAAATAAAAGAAATACATAGAGATAATGATACTAGTACACATATATCCCTATAACTAACTTTAATTATCTAAGAAACTTTTCCTTTTTCCTATTTTCATAGTTATTAACAGGGCAAAATTTATTATTGTAATATTTCTTTTATTATAGTATATCGGTTTATTTTTTTTTTCATTCCTTTCGTCCTTCCTTCAAAACTCACTTGTATTAATTAACTGGTTTCAATAACAATAATCCGATAAAATAATACAAATAGAAATTTTAAAGAAGCTTCTTTCATTCCTTTACAACAAAATTTTTATTTGATATCTGGCCCTAAAAACATAGTATTTGAAAGAAAAATCTCTTCCATATAACTCATGGTTAAACATTTTGATGATTTCATTTGTTACAAATATATGGTTCTAACAGAAATTTTACACCAAAGATAATTAACTAATAATCGTTAATAAAAGTGATTTATTTTTCTTATGTGTCCAAAAATTCACGTAGGCACCCGGAAATGTTAAAAGTTGACAAATCATTTTATTTTTGTGTTTAAAACTTTAAAAATACAAGAAAAAAAATTTCATTATATTAATCTCCCATCGACACATTGTGGTTGAGCATTCATGTACGATAGGAGATATACATAGAGTTTGGCTAGTGAGAAACAAGAAGACGATTTACGAGGAAGATACAAAGAAAGAGAAAGATAAAGAGGAGATAGATAAAGTGACGAATAGGAAAGAAAACACAAAGTCAGTTTCAAGTTTGCCTCTATAACGTCAAATCGAAATGAGGATGCCAATGACACCACCGGATAGAATTTACATGGAATTAGCGAATTTCACTTCAAACAAAGAAAGATTTTCATCAAAGAAATCATCAGAGAAGAAAAAGAAAATCAAGACGCCAAACGAAGAAGTAGTTGTCGATATGATCAAAAATTTGAGAATAGAGAATAGTAAAGGAGAGAAGGAAGTAGAGATAGAAATAGGATCAGCTGTTTCAACAATCTAGAAAAATGGAATAGCAAACCTTTGAAACGTGACAACGTAGCGACAGACGAGATTGTTGAGATCATAAAAAATTATTGAACAAATGAAAAATTCAAGTATGTTCAATTGCAAGACTCAGCAAGTGACAAGGAGGTAATGGATAAGATGTGGTTAAAAATATCTTTGACCAAACGTCCAACGAAATGGAATAGGAAAAAATTAACTTGGACGCTATAACGGAGATAAAAGAAGAGCGGAAGATAAAGACGGGTGACGAAGTCAGGGCTTGGGCAATAGAAGAGAATAATTTTCTCCTGTTGGGGAAAAAAATCATCAGGTGGAACAAAATAAAATTCTATTAGAATATACAACGCTAAATAATGATTTTAAACAAAGGTTGAAGGACGAAAATAGATACCAAGATGAAAAAGAAGTTGAAGACAAAAGGCCAATTTTGGAATCACCATCTCCATCAACTCGAAAGACTTGGTTCTTAGAAGAAATTAACAATGACCTGGAAAAAAGGAAACCCTATAAGAAAGATATAGAAGCGATGGGTTTTACGTCATCACCATCACTGGGTGCAGATAAAGATAAAGATAGTGAGGAAGGAAAGAAGAAAGACAAGGAAGAGCTAGCCAAAAAGAAAAAGAAGAAGAACAAAAAGAAACGAGGATAACAAGAATTTATTTTATTACTAAAAGAGTGTTGGAACCCAGACTATTACAAATAAAAGAAGAAAGAGTTCGAAAAGACTTAAAACTAATATGTGTGTATAGACCTTTGTTCTTCATCCCCTACGGGACCCCACTCTTCGATCTGTACTATTTGATAAAGTAGGACTACGCTAATAAATCAAATCAATCATTAATATAAAAAAAAATGATCCGTATTTTTCTTTCAACCCAAGGGTTGCCAACCATAAATACTGTCATAGTTGGATTGATTCACACTATTCTAAATTGTTTGTTTGTTAAAATAACCTGGTACGAATATGTACTATATACTTATAAGAAAAGAAACTATATAAAGGGGTAATTTTGACTCAAAAATGGTACTTGGCGTGAAAGCTACGTAAATGATTGAACGTTGAAGGACCTGCTCCTGATGAGTCATCAGCTTCTGCAGGTGGGTTTAGCCTTCGTTTGTATTCATTCTCTTAACTGGTAAAAAAATTGTTAGGAACCATCGTAGGGTTACGTTTGTTAGGGCGACGTTCAAGTTCCTTGGTGTTATCGGAAAGTTCTGATTGTGGTATACAACATTTACCGTAAGTACTGGCTATATAATTCTCATTAAATACCTTGAGTTCATGATCGATATAGGCACGGTGGTCCCTATCAGATCCAAATTGTCATAAATCAGACGTGAATTTTTTCATATTATAATCAAACTCATTAGACTTGTTAACAAGTCGATTAACTTCACTAGATTGATCCATGAATCGTGGAAAAGATGTTCCAAAAGTTTTATTGATCCTTTCATGGGTCTCTTCCCTTTTGCGTTGGTTTGTAGTGATAAGATCTTGTTCTGCATAATATTCACTTTGAGTTACTTGACGCGTAAGAATAGGTATCGGTATAGTACCTGATTGATGTAAATTATACATATAAGTAAACCATTCTCTTGATCCTGGAATGATAAAATTCCCTTTATTGTTATAGATCAGATCTTTAGGTATGATATTCCTATATTTATGCGGAATAAACATATCTGGATATGGCCAATATGGTGCAACCGTGTGAAAGACTTTCGGTGAGTACTCATTCGTAAACGTCGCGCTTGATATTAACTTCTTTTGATTATTGTGCTGATCAATACGGTAAGGAGTGACAAAGCCGTAATTTGGATGGTCTAAACCATGAGTATATTTTAAATGTTTGATCGGTTTGTTAATATATTGTGATGGGAGAAATAAGAATCTGTAGCGTCGCGCTGTGTTTAATTGATGATGAGGTGTATTACGTCAATTATGTTCAGGTTTATTGAAGATACATCTACAAATGCGTGCGAACTGAATTTCTTGTCATTTTTTTGTTTTGTCATTATCACTATATTTGGGTGAGAAATTATCTAAACGTTTCTCATACATGTGTATATTGTTGAATTTAAGTACTGAGCTAACATTGCGAGCATGATAGGATGAATCATAGGAAATGCCCAATTCATTTGAATAAATTTTCTTCTTTACTCGATTATTCTATCTTTGGTGTAATAGGTTTCCATGTGATTGTTTAGAATTTACAACACCACTAGCACTAATTGTTCTAGTATTATTATTATCAGTTCTAACATTGTGATATAAATTTGATTTAAAGAATGCGTGTTGATGCATAACGCATGCTCGTCTACAGTTTAACATAACAAAAGGTGCAGGAACCATACAACGACTTGGACGTGAACCTATTCCAGAAGTGGTTGATGATTGGCAACAGGGGATATATAGTCCTAAATAAAAATGATATTTCTTATATGTAAAATTAAAAAAAGTACGAGTATGAATATTACGTGTCTTGTGAGTATTAGCACGTGATCCAATGATCTCTTTTCGAGCCAATAATTTATCTTGAATAAAGTTAAAATATTTTTGTTGAATACGTCATGGAATAACTCTTTGTGAGGAAAAAAAATGCGTGAGCATACAGCTTATTCTGTATTTGTCATTTGGCATTGTGCTTGTGTTATAATAACTTATTGGAGAATTTTTCACATGGTAATCATTTGTGTAAATCGTTAGATTAATTTCATTGGTGTCGAGAGGAAGATCATTTAACTCAAAGAAGTAACATCTTGATCGTCTGATTTCATAGATCTTGTTATATCCTGCCTGATTCGGTTAGTCACGTGAAATTTTGAAAAAGAGATTTTCAAAGGTTTTTTATTCTCAAGCGTGCGAGAAGGAATTTTACGAGGGTTATTAGTCGAGTACGGGTGTAGGTACTTGGGAGTAGCAGTCGGAAGTATGCTGTTATGTGCGTTATTATCACTATTTCTGTGGTTAGTAGTTGTAGAGACTGTATTACTATTTGTAAAGTGTGGGTACAAACTAGGGACGTTAAAGTCTATGTGTATAAAGTTAGAAGAGGTCATAATCCGTGAGTATAGGATATAGGTACAAACAAAGAAAACCTCGTCTTATGCCCGAGGCGCCCTCACTGGACCTCTTCCCCTTTAGTTTTCAATAGAAAACTTGAAGAAAAACGAACCAAAGCAAAATTGCTATATTTACTGCGGAAAATTAATAAAATTGGAAAAAAGGGGAAAGAGTTTTTTTTTTTCTTTTTTTACGAGGACAACAAGAAGGAATGACCAACGAATTTTCAATATTTATTAATCGAAGTCACGTGATTCCACGTTAAAAATATTCCGATAACAAAGGGAAAATAAATAGTTAATTCATTTTTAAATTTCTTTTTTTTAATTTCGATTAGGATAGAACATAAAGTTTAGGATATAGTAGAGATTAAATTAGATTTGTAACTATAGATTAAGAGATATATCTTAGTTTAATCTGATATTCTTTGCAATTTATGTCTTGAATAGCCTTTTATCCAAATAATTTTAGATTAGTTAGGTCTGGATTGGTAGGTTAGAGCATAGGAAGGGTATAGTATTTATTTTTATTATTTTTTGTAATGTGTCTTTTAGTGCTAAAGAATACTCTGTTATAGGTTGTCACCTGATTTGCACGGATGGCTCTAAGTGTCTTAATTTGTTGGGAGCGATTTATGTATCAAACAGAATATAAAAATTTGATAGATCTTCGTCATTTAATTTGAGTAATAAATCACGGTATACAGTCAACCCTATATGATCACACCCTTCGGGACTAAAAAAATTGGTGAAATACTATATGAAATGATGTGACTAAAGAGGGGTTTTTTTAATAAGCTCACTAGTAACTTAAGTCAATATAAATGTGATGTGACTATATCTGGGTGACTATGAAGGGGCCAACTGTAAATCAAATTCGAAGATCAATGTTCATCCTACTTTTAATCTAATTAAACTTGTAAATTCTATGTAATATGTAATTTCAGAAGCTTTGCAATTAGTATGCAAGGTTTAATCATTAAATAACTCTGCAACTGTAAAAAGTATGTTAAATGTCTAATGAAATTAGACAAACAATTTTATTTTAATGACAATTATAAAAATGATCCAATTACAAACCAACTTTATTTAAATAAAATAAGGTAACCATAGATTAAAAAAAAATAAAAATATATTAATTTTCAATTATACATTCCACACACTCAGAATCTTCTTTAACTAAGATTTCAGTAAGTTTGCGACTTGTATAATATGCTTGTGAATGATGTTGTATAATAGAAGTACCTGCTTGTCCTTGTACTAAAACTTTGTTTGCTTCTACAAATTCCAACATATCATTTTTTAACTGTTTATCAATATTAGGTACTTCATATTCATAATTATCATCCCTGTTTGTCTCATAAAATTTATTAATACTTCTAACCCATTCAGATATGATATTTTCAAGCATTATTATGTTTGGTCTATTAGAAGGATTTGTATCCCAACATTTTTTCATTAAATCTACATAACATTTTGGAGTATTTTTTATAATTTCAGGACGTTCCCCTTCACAAATACTCAGGGTAAGGTGATAATCATGTGCTTTACGATTAAATGGAGGAATACCTGATGTAAATTCCCACATTATCATTGAAAGGCTATAAATATCACTTGCTGAAGTATAGGGTTTTTTTCTTAATATTTCAGGCGCCATATAAGGCAAAACTCCATAAACTTCATTTAATTTACTATCAGAATCTTGTAAATCATTTATAGGTTTACATAATCCTAAATCAATAATAAATATCTCATTGTTATCTGACATTAAAATATTACCATCATGAAAATCACCATGAGTTAAATTTGATTCATGAATTACTTTAAGTCCTAGTATAATTCTTTTTAATAATTGTAACTTTTCTTGCCACTTAAATTTAATTATATCAGATAAACATTTTCTCAAACTTCCTTTTCTTGCATAACTCATTATTATTATATAATTTAAATTTTTTGGATCTTGGGTAATTCCAAAGAATTGAATAAATCTTGAAAATGATTTTTTCTGACAATTATAATGATATTTCCACTATATAATCGATAAAAAATTATTAAATTTTTGCAAAAGAAAATAAATATACAATTAAATAATATAAGTACTATACCTCATCCAGAAATTTGCTATTTAAACTTGATGAATTATTAAGTGTTTTAAGAATAACTTCATAACCTGTTTGTCTATTCCATTGTTCTTTGTCAAAATTCCAACCAAAAATAGGTCCATCTGACCAGATAGCCTTATAAATTTCACTAAACCCTCCTTTATTATAATGATTAATTTCTGATAATTTATTATAAGGTATCCACTCTAAAATTTCATAACTATTTTTAGCATTTAGTTGTGCCTCTTGAATAAATTTATCAATAAATTCATTTTTACTAGTCCACTTTGAAAAATCTTGTTGAAATCGTTTAGTATTACATTGTTGACACCACTGATAATCAGTATATGGTTGTTTGCATTCACTGCATAATTCAGATTTATTTCTAGGACTTATTTTGTTACTTTCTACCACTTTTTGATGCCAATAAAATGCTTTTTCTAAATTTATTTCTGTTCCTTTTCCTTTTTCATAACATATGGCTAAATTATACATTGCTTTAATGTGACCATTAACTGCTGCTTTTTGATACCAATGAAAGGTTTTTTCTAAATTCTTTTCTGTTCCTTCTCCATTACAATATCTATTGGCTAAATTAAACATTGCTTCTTTAACACCATTTTCCGCTGCTTTTTGATACCAATGAAAAGCTTTTTCTAAATTCTTTTCTGTTCCTTTTCTATTATAATATCTATTGGCTAAATTAAACATTGCTTTAACATGATCATTTTCTGCTGCTTTTTTATACCAATAAAAGGCTTTTTTAAAATTCTTTTCTGTTCCTTTTCCATTATAATATTTATTGGCTAAATTAAACATTGCTTCTTTATCACCATTTTCTGCTGCTTTTGATGCCAATAAAAGGC